GCCAATCTGACGTCCTGTCGCCACGCGAGCCTACGCATAGATCTCCACGGCGCAGCCCGGGACAAAATGCCAGTAGCAAAAGTTTGGAACGAGAGGTCGCGCACAGCAGCCGCAGCAGCACGTCGACGCCGAGCGGTCTGCTCGAGTAGGCGATGGGGGGCCCCGTTCCGGTCGATCAAGCCTCGTCAGCTTCTCACGCTCGACGATGAGCTTGGAGAAGAGGGGGCCATCGTTGACAGAGCGCGGGAGAGGACGGCGGCGAGAGTCTGGCTTTCATTCATCGTACTCATGGCGGACATGCGCGCGAGCACCCCAGACGGTGGTGACAGGGGAATGGTCCGAGAGATGCGAGCGATAATTTCCCTCGTGCTCGCCGACTGTCGAGCAACTCGGAAACGTCTGGCAGATCGGCCAGCCGACCGAGCCAGTGAAGACTCGATGCGTGACGCCGAACTCGCGCTCGCATGCCAATGGGTAGGGCGATCGCCGGCCAACTCTGTAAGCAGCCGCCATGTGCGCCTCCACGGCGCATCACCCTGCCAGCAGGCCCGCGACGTCGACGAACGCCGCCCGCCCGGAGCACTGGGGCAAAACTGAAGCCGACGAACATCGCCCACCACAGGTAGATCCACGACCCTCAGCAATGGACGATGTAGGCGAGGCCTCAAACGCTGTCGATCGCTCCCCAGTTTCGCCAGCAATCTTGAAATCACCGACGAGCATGACTGTGCTCGAGGATGGAGAGCGACGGGGCTCTGCTTCTGAGGCTTCATACGCAGATGGATGAACTTTATCATTTCGCCAGGGGTCTCATGATTGCGCGCGTGCCAATGAATGGTGAAGTTGAGCTTGCCGCCGGCAACTCGGCAGTGGAGAACCCTACCAGGGACCGCGGCGTCATGCGCCACGTGCGCCCCAAAAACTGATGGCGCGAAGGCAAGGCCATCTCCCGACCGAACTTCGCCTTCAGCATATGGCGAAAACAAGATATGTTTGATCTGATTGTGTTGAAGAGCTCAATCCACAGCCACGTGCACCGTGGGCTTCTTGGATAGCGGCACTGGCGTCAAGAGTCGCCAACCGCTTCAAGTGCGCTAGCCTGCGCGGCTGAGTCGCAGGGTGGAAGTGCAAAAGGGAGCTAGCATATCGCGCGACGTGCCTGACTTGAGCGAGACCGAAGAATGTGTGACCCAGACAACTGCGCCGCCCGCTTAGAGAAGACACGCTCCGCCAGTTTGACCAGAATAGACGTCGATACTCAAATATATCCCAGCGCCGCCGCCTTCCACTCGACCGCGGGGATGGAGAGGGGGGCCGCGAGAACGCGGGCAAGCGGGCCCCAGCGTGGCAGCAACTGGCCGCCCCCCCGGTCGACGGAGACCCGCAGCTGCAACTCGCCCTCCAGTGCGCGCTGGGGTTTCTTGCAGGCAACCTCCTGCAAGATGACCTTGCGGCTCTTGTCCACGCCGACGCACAGGGGGACTTGCCTGCCGGCGGGGCTGGAAGCCGCGAGTTTCCGCCAATCAGCTGCGGGCTCGAGGCCAGCCCGGGCACGCTTGCGACTTTTTTTTTGAGACGGCCATGGGTCAAGCAAAAGCGACGGTGAAGATGTTGCCCGAGTTCCCCCCAATGACAGCGCACTCGAAGTTCTCGGCGCACCCGACGTCCTGCAGCCAAGGGCCGAGCGATTCGAGCACGGCGGACCTGGCAGCGGGCTCGGGAGAGCGGGCAACAATAATGGTACGATCAGGACCACGATCCCGATCAGCGCTGCGCACAGGCTCCGACTGCGGCCTCTGCTTCGCCAAATCCAGTCCTTGTTCCCGTTGCTGAAGACAGCGTTCCATCTTGGCGACCAGTCCTTCATTCGCCGACGTCCTATCTTCCATGCTGGCCATTCTGTGCTTGACCTCATCGATGTGTTCCAGAAGCTGCTGCTCCAACTTCGACAGCTGAGGGCCCGCGGCGTCTTTGAGCGCCAGTGGGAGACTGGACTTGAAAGACCCAGAAGCTGCAGCGGTGAACTCTTGGATGGCCGAACCTTCTATGGCATCGAAGTAACCCTGCATCCAAGGATCCGGGCAGGGCAGCGGTGGGGTCGCCATGCCTGCGATCGGAGTCTTCGGAACTGCGGACATGTGGGGGGGGGGAGAACGTCGAAAAGAAGTCGCACCCACCGCGCCTAGACTGCCGTCCATCTCCACGGCAGCGGCCTCAACAATGAAAAGGTCCAGACCAACCCACACCAGAACGACCGACACTGGCAGGACCTCCAGAGCCATGAGCGCCACTGGGAGCGCCTTGACCATGGCCAGAGGCATCACGCGATACATGATGCTCACGAGCGCCATCTTTATCACAACGATCGCCACGTTAGCGCACTGAGCCAGGAGGGGCATGTGATGAATTGCGGGCCGACAGACGCGATCGAGAGTCGGATCTCTCACGCTGCTGTTTTTGTTGTTTTCTCGTCCTTATGTTTCTTCTCCTTCTTTTGCTCCCGAGAGGTAGAGACATGATTCGGCCGATCGCCACCGCTGGGTCCCATCGAACACGGCGGCTTTAGGGAAGCACTGCAAAGCGGCGTCGCGCGCTGGCGCGACGCTCCACGCCTGGAAAGGACCGGGCGGAGAGGTTGGAACTAGCCGCGGACTAGCGGCATCCACTTCGTTCCCAGGGGGAACATGCATCTTGAGCCACAATAGTTACGGAGGGGGAGGAGGGGGAGGAGGAGGAGGAGGAGGAGGAGGAGGAGGAGGAGGAACGCCGGCACCGAGATGATGCGCTGGGGGGGCGCGGACACGACGCTGAGTGCGACGAGGCGCCGACGAGGAAAACACGTGGGAGGAGTGAGGAGAGGGCAGGGGTGGGTGAGGAAAATGGGAAGGAGGAGGGGGAATAAGGGCGAGCATGGACTACAAACGATAGGGGGTGAGCTGGAATGCGAATAAAGAGAGATCAGTAGGAGGGCGTGAAGATGGTGAGAGAAATACGGCATGCACAACTGCGGTAACATTCGCTGTCTGCACGCGTCTGTTTCCCAGCGTGGGCGACCCAAAAATTTCGATATTGCATTCGGTGTTGCAATCTGACCGTGGAGCAATGTATCCTACCGTGCCACTGGGCACGAATGGGGGGTGTCTTCAAGTTCTTTGCCCAATCCCCTGAGCCTTAGCCCTCGATCCTCAGGAGTCTGTAAAAGGCCTGGGCCCAAAACTCCGAAATTTCTGCTGGTTTCCTGCGTGCCGCTTGGGACCCGTCGCGGTTTCCTGCATGAGCTGTTCGGGCCAGCGCAGGCCCCGAGATGGGCCAAGAGGGCTCCAGGAGGCCCCTAAGACTGTCCAGGAGTGCCCCAAAACGTAAAACAATCGCTCGAAGACGCTCAAGATGGCCCGAAGAACCAGCTGTGGCTTTCGTAGCGGAGCACTGCCCACACCTTGACAAGGCGGTGCCACGCCACCCTGTGTAAGTACCGCGCGAGGTGCTCGCCCATGACCAGGCGGAGCCGCGATGCCCTCGTCGTCGGGCTTATGCCCGCTCCGAAGAGCACCCCCGCGTTCGCGAAGACCTGCTGGGCTTCGGGTCGAGCGGAAAGCGCGTCGTTCTGGCTTGCGCCTGCCACGCGCTCTGCCCACACCATGGCGCGCAGGGCCTGGTTGGACACCGTCGGCCCGCACGGCTCGGCGACTCTGGCATACACGCACCCGATGAAGTGCACGACGTCAGGGGTCACGCGGCCCCGCGCAAGAGCCACGTGCGCGTTGCCTCCATGCCAGCACCTGCGACCTCACCGTGTTGATGTGCGTGCGGCCCGTGATGCCGTCCTTCGCCCGCTCCGGGTCCATGCAGGGCCGCGCTCCCAAGCGAAGGTGTTGCCATCTCTTCGAACAGCGTGGCCAGGCAAAACTTCCACCGAATCCCGGCACCTCCGAACGAAGCGGGTCCCCACCATCGCACGGGCCCCCAGCGGCGGTGGGGCCCCCAACGGCGGCGGGGCCTCGGACGCACCTCGGCTGGCCGCCACCCTGAGGCACGCCACAGCGTCCTCCAGCATGGCTCGTTCAGGTCAGTCATGGAACGCATCAGCCGCTTCTGCACTGCCTCCTCGGCCACTGCCTGGTCCACGCTGAGGCCCGCGGCCGCCGCGACCTGCACAAGCGTTCCCTCGAACTCGGCCTCGTCCGCCTGCAGCGCCAGGCGCGGGCCGAGGAGATCGCATTCGTGAAGCACTTTGCTGGCCCGCCGCCGCGCGGCATCGAGGGCATACGGCCCAAGGGCCAGCATCTGCGCCCAACCATTGTCCAAAATCGGCCGAGCAAGGGAACCAAAATGACCACAGGCATCGGACAGAGTAGGATAATGCACATTCGTGTTGGCACACGGGGGCGACAATGTTGACGATGCCGATGACGACGACTACGATTATCCCGCCGATGATGATGATGATGCTGCTGATAATAATACGAATAATAACGATAATCAGTACAATAATAAGAATGATGATGATGATGATGATGATGATGATGATGATGATGATGATGATGATGATGATGATGATGATGGTGATGATGCTGATGATGACGATGCTGGTGCTGGTGATGCTGATGTTGATGATGCTAATGATGGCGGCGGTGGTCATGATGCTGGTGATGATGATGAAGACCATAATGACGATATTGGTACGACGGTGATGTTGACGACGACGGCGAGGAGGATGAGGAGGATGTTGATGATGATGGCCACGACGACGGCCACGACGACGACGACGGCGAGGGCGATCACGACGACGATGATGATGGTGATGTTGATGATGACGCTGACGATGACGATGATGATGACGATGATGGGCAGCTGAAAGGGTACGTTGCACGGTAAAGTCGAAGCCGCGGACCCAACGAGCAAGCTGCCCAGCGGCCAGACCAGCAAGCTGCACCGCCCGCCCGCCCCGAGTGCGGTGATGACGACGACGACGACGACGACGACGACGATGGCGATGCGGATGATGTATACCTGAAACCAGCCTTTTCCCTGGCCCTGGTCGACGGCATGTGAAGGGCACGGGGGGTAGCTGCCGCGGGGGAGGGAGGCTAAACAGTTAAGGAGTCGAGCGCACCTGCGCGCTGCAGGCTACAATCCCGAACAACGCGCAGGAGCCACTCTCACGGCTTGCACCCACGCGAGGCCTCGCGCGCGCGCCGCGCCAGGGGTCTTCAGAGGTCCTCGTCATCGTCTCCGATCGCGACGTTCTGGGCCTCCTGCAGCTCCTTCTCGTGCTGGGCGATGAGGGCAGTGTCGATCTGGATCTCTGGGGCCTTCGCGAACTGCCCCACGAACTGCAAATTGCCCTGATTTGTGAGGCGGCGGGCAAGCCAGAGGAACGGCTTCTCGAAGTTGTAGTTGCTCCTGGCGCTCAGGTCGTAGTACTGCAGGTTCCTCTTGCGGTGGAACTGGATGTTTTTGGCCTTGACCTGGCGATCCTTCACGTCCACCTTGTTGCCCACTAGCACGATCGGGATGTTCTCGCAAACGCGGACGATGTCGCGGTGCCAATTGGGGACATTCTTGTACGTGATCCGCGATGTGACGTCGAACATGATAATTGCGCACTGGCCCTGGATGTAGTAACCATCACGCAAGCCACCAAACTTCTCCTGCCCGGCCGTATCCCAGACGTTGAACTTCAAGGGCCCGCAATTTGTCGTGAAACCGAGCGGATGGACCTCGACACCCAAGGTCGGGATGTATTTCTTCTCGAACTCACCCGTCAGGTGGCGCTTCACCAGGGTGGTCTTGCCCACGCCCCCGTCGCCAACAAGCACGAGCTTGAACTCGGGGACTGCCATATTGTGCCGGTTGACGCAATGTATGCCCTGCGGTCAAGCCAAACTGGGCGATGGGCCCTGCGCTTGAGCCCAAACGGCTGCAGACGAATGGCACCTGAATTTGGTGCCACACAGGTACAGGGAAGCCGTACAGCCATCGTGCTACCATCAGGAACGCCGAAAAAGAAACGAAGGGGGCTCTCTGGCCTCAGCGAACCTCGGCCACGAATTGGCTCCCTGACCTCAGTCTACGGAACGGCCCGAGCATCAGAGCCCCTCCCGAGCCCAAGGCGGTCCTTATTTCAGAATCTTGGCTGTGGACCGAAGCAGTGCGGAGAGCGAAAAGACAGAACCTCTTGGCCGACAGACAGACGTACGGAAAGACAGCCACACGCCGAGGCAGACAGGCCGCAGGTCGTGGACCCGAAGCTGCGGATGAGGAAGGCGCAGATGAGCTTTCGTGGCGGCCACCTCTCGCCTCTAAGAGGCCAAACAGCATGAAGAAACGTAAGCTTTTGAAGGTCCGCGCGGTCTTCTGGGATCGGCGCTGGACCCCCTTCCCTGGCGCGCGGAGCGCGCCACATGCAGCGCTGGCGGCGCCGACAGGGAGTCCAGCACCGATCCGAGAAATCTGCGCGGAGCTCCAAGAGTGCATGCTGTGCAGACTGTTCCGTCGGACATGGGCGCAAGGCAACGAGACGACCGGCTCACCACTGCCGGCTCGGCCTTGCATCGCGTTAGCAGCCTGACGTGCACGGCCTACGCCACCATGCTGCACAGCTCTGAGAGGCTCTGTTGATGCAGCTTTTTCGGAGTCGCCGCCAGGGGGTCCAGCGCCGATCCGAAAGTTCGCGCTGAGCTCCGAGAACTTACGTTTGTGCAGCTTCGGATGGACACCAAAGATCGCGCTCCGCTCCGACGGATTGGGCTATACTAGACTCCAACCAGGAAGATACCTCTCACGCGTGCGGCTCTTTTTTTCCCTCGATCCCCGCGGGCTCCGCGAAGTGCCGCCTCCCGGCGCTCCGCGGCAGAGCAATCCGCCGCCAGAGGCCAGCCATGGCACGCCGCCGCGCTCAACGGTGCGCCGCGGGCCCGCCTCACGTTGGGCGTTGCTCAATGGGTGGGCGATAACTTGGGGGGGGGGGGAAGAAAACGTGCACCTCTGGTGCCCCTTTTGGGCCCCCGGGGCCTCTTTAGGGCCCCTAAGGTGCACGAAAGGTGCATCTTCGTTCACCCCCCCATTCCCGAGCATGCTCGCATCGTGAACAAAGCACGACGGGCAATGTTTGGCTGTCTCGATCTCGCGGGGCCCTCGAGGGGCCCCGGGACCGGAAGACACGACCCGCGATGAAAAACCTGTCCGCCGAGAAGGGTCTGGACTTCCTGACTTCCTGGCCCCCGCATTGAACACATCAAGACGTCGCATGTGTGCGCTCCTTGCCCCCCCCCGTTGCGCAACGCCCGATCACGGGCGTGCGGGCCTCGGCAGGCCGACGGGCTCCGCCCAGCCGGCCGCCGAGTGCGCCGCGCTCCGCCCCGGCAGAGGCGCTGCGCCGCGGGGCACGCGCGGGCGAGGCGGGCGGGCGGCGGTGCCGGGCGCGCCGGCGCCGCCGTCGCGCCTCGTCGCCTGGAGCGCTGCGCCGCGGTGCGGTGCCCAAGAGGCGCCGCAGGGAGGTGGGAGGGGGGAGGGCGCTCAGAGGAGGGCCAGAGAAGACGAGGGTCGCCTCGGGGCCCGCCTCGGGGGCGCCCCTCGTCGCGCAGCGGCTGAGCGCAGCTCAGGAAGCTCGTGCGTTTGGCCCCCGGTACTGGGAGCGTCACCGAGCTTACTAAGTACTTAGCTTAGTTCTAATGTGGTTAGTATCCACATACGCCAGTTACGACATGAGGTTAGCGGCTGGAGGTTCTAAGGTGATTAAAATCACGATTGTAAGTAGGTTACGTAACTATGCTAAGCGGTTAGGTTGATTGTGCTAACTTGTTTTTTTGTTTAAGTTAGCTGCCGCAGACTTTCAATATCGTCGTATCGTTTTTGTAGTCGCAGCCGCGGGGCGGCGGCGGGGGCGAAAGCCCTGCGAAGGTCCCGAAGGGCTCTCAGGAGGTCCCAAACTGAGCGGGTCTGCTGAGAGGCGCAGCCTCGACGATATGGAAAAAGCAAGGCGGCGGGGGGGGGGCGAAAGCCCTACGAGGGTCCCGAGGAGCTCTCAGGAGGTCCCAAAGTGAGCGGGTCTGCGGGGAGGCGCAGCCTCGACGATATAGGAAAACGCAAAGCAACGGGGGGGGGGCGGAAGCCCTACGTGGGTCCCAAAGGGCTCTCAGAAGGTCCCAGAGCGAGTCCAGGGCCCCACATGGCTCCCATGGGCCCCCCAGGAGGAGGAAGAGTCGGAGTAGGAAGGAGAGGGGGAGAGATACAGAATGAGGACCTCCCAAACACCCAATCGATTGTACATCAACTGGTCCCACATGCAATCAGGTCCGAAGCCTCCCGCCTGCGTGTTTGAAGTTCGGGGGCAGCAACACACGAGCCAGCTGCCCTACAGGGGCATCCTTATGCACGCACGGCTCCTGCAAACGAAACAGAGGCACCAATGTGCCGTGACCCTGCGCCTGGCACGTTGCAGATTCCCCACGCGAACCCGCGAGTGGCCAGGGGGCCATGCAGCACCCCACCCACGCGTCGACTGTGCAGAAAAACTGTACTTTGCCAATCCGCACGAGCCCGTCATCCCCAAGCACTGTGCAAACATCACCGTTCGAAACAACTCGGCCGTGTGCGTACGCCGAGGTCGCCATGAGAACGTTGTACCCCATGGCGAAAGGGAACACCTTCAAAAACGACGCCTTCGCATGCTTGCTTGGAGACTTTAGAGTAATTAAATCGGGCTTGGCAAGATTGTGGCGACCTAGATCGTAGAGGTGCTGGACTGTAGCCTCTTCTAAAACAGAACGGTCGAACGCCGTCAAACTGTGCCGTGGCGTCATCACTCTCTTTAGCACGTGGTGATTCCGCTCGTGCAGAAAAGTCGATATGATCATTCCGTGGAGCTGCAGCTGGCTCGGGATATGCAATTTGTAATGCTCTTTGGCCTTCCACAGCTTGAAACCGTAGGCTGCCTGGTGCAGCACAAGGTGCGCGTGGATTGCCCGCGCAAGCTCATCGGCCTGAACGTCGCCGCTGTTTGCCATCTGCAGCAACTCCATCACGTGAGCAAGAGCAAGAAAGTTGGCCGACTCCTTGCCAAGGACCCCCTTCTTCATGACAACGCCGCGGACGTATTGGGCGAGCACTGGGCAGAGGGACAGATACTCAGACGCTGAGCCAGCGGGCGAGTGATCAGCGTGCTTGCGGAAAACTTGCCTGGCGTGAGCATATGCGTTTGGCCAGCGCCACAACTGCATGTACTGGTCGAGATGCGCCCCCCCCAGCCCATGATCCGCGAGCCTTTCCTCAAATTCCGAAACCTCCTTGACTAGGGTGCCATCCACGCAGCAGCAGTGCATCCAGTCGTAGCACCAGCAACTGGGGAGGTTGAAATCTACATCCTCGTCCTGGAGAAGCCCCGTCGGGATGTAGTTAAAGCCGAGCAGCGCTTCCATCTCCTGCACCTCAGCATTCGAGCCGTTGACCGACATTTCCCGCAATCTCCGCTGGATTGCCTTGACCCCTTCATCGGAGTGCAACCTGAAGGCTGCCACGTTGAGACTCGTCGAGGGGATGAGAAAGCCAGTGGGGTCGGGCAGGTGCGTGCTCTTGAGCGCCGCAATGTTTTGGCGCAGCGCACATATCTTGAGCCCGCCCGACCCTTTGACGCCGGTCGAAAACTTATGGCCCCGCTCGTCTTGCACGAGCATGGCCATGCGCCCCGTCGCGAGACGAGGGGCTGCCTCACCTGCGATCGACAAGGAGATGCCGTGTCGCAAATCGGGCCCAGTAGGCCCCCCGAAGAAGAACTTGACCGCGTTCCGAAACAGCTCAGCCATTCCACCAGGGAGCTCTGCGACGGTGTCTGACCTTGGCGCGCGCACGGTATCCCACGCCAACTCGCAACTCAAGATCGGAAACCCGAAGTCCCTCAAGGTCCAGTAGACGGCCTGGACCTTCCTGGTGTTGTGTGGCTGCAGCACCTGTCCTGGTGTGATCTCGTCCGTGTATAACACGATGGAGACGTGGTTGTTAGACGTGTCCAGCACCCTCACCAATGCGGCGCGATACTCTTCGCTGGATTTGCACGCCGCCTCTAAGAACGCAAAAGGGGTGCTGGAAGAACAGCTGGACAGGCGGGTCACCGACCTTCTTGCTGGGAACACTCCGCCGTTGAACCAGCGATCCAAATGTTGTCGCCGCCGTTGAACCAGCGATCCAAATGTTGTGCTCTGGAAAGCACTTGACTGCCTCGCCCGCCTCTGGCTGGAACTCGAAAACATCGTGGGGAGCATGCCGCCATCATCCCGAAGCTGCTTCAGAATGTGCTCTAGCCCGCTGGCGCTCACGTGAGCGTCGCGGCCGAGGTGGGCAAGCTTAAGTTTCTTGGCATCGGCCATGCTGCTTGAGCCTGAACGGCGAACACGGGCAGGGCGACCCATGCCACCCCGTCGGCTACACGCGGCCCCATCGGGCCTTGCAGCACGGCACCGCGCGACACATGTCTTCGCAACGGGCGCGAAGCGCGCGCAACACGGCACCGCGCAGCACCAGCCTTGCAGCACGGCACCGCGCGACACTTGCATTCGTGACGAGCGCGAAAAGCGCGCAACACGGCACCACGCATCAGTATTGCTTGATAATAGTAACAGGAGGTGTTGCAGAAAACTCATAGGTTTAGCGAATGTTTCGCCGCATGTTTCGTTTGTTGGTAGTCTGCGTTTTTTGTTGTTTTTTACGTGCCTTCGCTGTTTGTTTTGGGTGGTTATGTTGTGGCGTGCGTCGTTTAAGTTGGCGGCCTTTACATCGCGGGGGATATGATACACAGGCGGGGAGCCCGTAAGATGATGAGGGGGAGGCTGGCGATGATGAGGGAGATATGCTAGGATGACGATGGTCGAGGTGTTGATGCTGACGGTGTCTTGCTATTCGCACTTGTGCAGCCTGGCGGTACATGGGCCAGCTGCGAGTTCTGTCTGTGCGCGCGTACCAAATGCTCGCGGGGGTGAGCCTCGCACCCTATGCACACCAAGCCCCGATGTGCGGCAGAGGGGGCTGCGACGTCGGCAGTGGCTATAGCCCGCTGTCGGTCTGAGCAGAGGAAGCGGCAACGCAACGCCTTGCTTAAAGCGAGGCCAAGGTAGCGAATTGTACATCCTACTTGGAGCCCGCATTGTTAACCTTTATCCACACCGCAGTCGCTGCCGCGAAAGCCTCGCGGGCGACGAGAACAGCATCGTGATCGGAGAGGCCCGCCCTGATGGCGTTCCTCTTGGTTGCGTCGCGTGCCTTGCTGGTGTAGGCCCCGCGAGTTTTACCCGCGGCGTCCTTGGGCCTCAGGTAGTCGGAGTAGCTCACCGTGCGCTTCCCCTTCTTGGAGCCGCCTCGCATCGGGCGCGAGGAGGGCGAGGAGGCAGAGGGGGAGTGGGCGGGGCGAGGACGAGGAGGGGAGCCCCCCGTCCGATCCACCTCCCCCTTCATCGTCCCTCAGCCCTCCTCCTCACTACCTTAATCCTCATCCTCCTCCCCCTCCTCGTCGCAGCCGCCTGCAGGGGAAGCGGCTGATGGCTTGCGGAGCGTGGCGGCCTTGGCAGGGGAAGCGGCTGCTGGCTTGCGGAGCGGGGAGGCCTTGGCCTTCGCCTTCTTGGCCTTCCCCTTGTCCCCCTTGGCCTTGGCCGCATTGGTCGCCGCCGCGGCGTCCTTGTCCCTGCCCCTCTTGGCCTTCGCGGCCGCCCTCATGTTCTGCTCCAACTGCTCGAGCTCGTCCTCGGCATCCATCTGATCGTCGCCGTCGAGCAGGTCGGCGCAACCGGCCGCCGCGCCGTCCACCACAGTAGATGGCGGGGCCACCTGGCTAGCCAAGCGCTGGCCGCCTGGCTGGGCGTAGGGCGCGGCCGCGCCGTGCTGGTTGGAGAAGAGGTTGGGCGAAAGCTGAATGCCGAACTGCTGGGCGAACGGCTGCATCGCTGCGAACGCGTTGCTGCCGAGCGCCTGGCTGGCCAGTCCCGCCAAGAGCTGCAGGGGGCAGTGATGCGCCTGCTGCTGCCGCTGCTGCTGCTGCTGCGGAGGCGGCGGGAGGGCCAGCTGCATGGCTGGCGGCTGGTCAGCCGAACTAGCTGCCGCCGCTCTCCTATCCTTGAGTCCTTGAGAGGCGCCCCTGCGATCTGGCTGGACGTCTTCCTGCGGCACATCTTGACACCACTCATGTCGACGTCTGCTGGCGCGGCAACTGGCGGATCAGCGGCGTCGGGGTGCGCGAACCTGTACTTGGCAGGGGTGAGGTCCGACGGCATCATGAAGTCCTTCTGGTGGCCATGAGGGTACGTCTTGCTCTTGTCGATGCTCTTGACGGCATCCTGCACCATGTCGCAGAGGGCCGCCTTCTTGGACCCAGGCACCTGACTCAAGTCCGAATAGGTGCAGGCGACGATGATGGCCGCAGCTGCCTTCAGGGTGCGCTCAGCAGGGCACGTGATGCCCACGCGCCACATGCGTGCGCCCAAGGTCTGGGCTTTCGCTCCCTCCGACATCATAGCGTTCTTCATCGCTCTCCTGTCGGACGCCGTGAGGAAGTGGGAGAGGTCGGAGCAGTACTGCTGGCAGCGAGTGTGGCCAACCCTCTTCGCCAGCTCCTGGGCGGCGGCGGCGTCGTTGAGGGCCGTCGCCAGCATGAGCTTCTGGTCGGCCGACCACGGCCCACGGTTGATGTGCTCCGTCGCTTGGGTGGCCACCGAAAGCGTAATCCCCGTGGACGAGCTGAAAGTCGCCAAAAGCGAGTTCGCTTGGGCCTGAAGCAAGACGGCCTCGGGCATGCCCGCTCCGACCTGGGTGTTCACGAAAGCCAGGCGCTGGGAGATGACCGAGCAGAGGCGCTCAGCCTCGAAGTCCATGCTGCAGGGTGCGGTCGGGTCAACGGTCAGTCAGTGGGGAAGCCAAAACAACTTCTCTAAAACTGCTGCGGAGGTGAGCGGAGGCGAGTCGAGGTGAATGGACGGGGCGCGTGCGACCCGAAACCTACCAACATATCCGGCCTGGGAGGCGGCCTGAGGGGCCCATCGGGCCCATCCCCCGCCGTCCACGGACCGCCAGGTCCTGTGTCACCCCTGCGAAAAGCCGTCGAAACAAACGCATCCGCAGCAGTGCGCACAGTCTGATGCCCCCCCCGAGCTCTCGCGCGACCATCGCACGAGGCGATCTTTGATGGCCCCGAATGCGAGATCGGCCCCAAAATCGGCGTCTCATGGGCGGCCCCCCCCCAGAAGCCTCATATGCACCAACGCAGCTGGCTGCACTGGTGCATATGCACCAACGCAGCTGGCTGCACTGGTGCATCCCCTGGGGGGGTCTGCACTTGCACCAACGCAGCTGGCTGCACTGGTGCATATGCACCAATGCAGCCAGCTGCGTTGGTGCATATGAGGCTTCGTCGCAGTCTACCTGAGATGTCTGGTGGTATGCAGCGTGCTGACCTCCCCCCCTTCCTCCTGCCACCCCACCCCTGACGACTCGCACAGGCTCGTTTGGCGTGAATTCCCTCGTCAGCTGTCCGAGCCGCGTCCCCGTCGCAGGCGCGAGCGAGCGGCTTGCCCCAAGCCGTTCAAGACAGCACGCGCGACTTGGGCAACGCATGCCGCCGAGGATGGCGCAGCGCTGCCTCTGCACGGGGCCCAGACTCAGGCGCCGCCGACGGCCGCTGCCTCGAACTGCCCGCCGTGGTGCCTCTCGTAGAAGGCCTCCAGCTCCCTCGTGATGCGGTCCACGTGCTCCTGCGCGTTCCCATCGGTTGGCACTTGGATGGACTTCTGCTTGTACTTATTCGCCTTGGCATCGTAGTACTTCACCCTCAGCGCGTGCCTGCGCGGAAGCCACTGCACGTGCTCGGGCGAAAAGGCTGGCCTCACCTCGCCGACTTCGGTCACGGCTGGCTCCTTCGCAAGAAGTTCGAGCACGCTGCACGACAGCTCGACAGCCAGCTTGTCCCGATGGTGAGCGGTCGTGAGCACGTTGATCGTCACTGTAGTGCCGTCGGCCATGGGCGTCGTCACCTCCACGATCGGCGCTACGTCGTCGATCAACTCCTTGCGCGCTCGCTTAGGCGCGGGCTCCTCCTCCTCAGCGTCGCCGAGAGGATCGCTCCCACGGCCGACCTGGGTCATCAAGGAGTCGACCTTGTTGTTCCGAGCCTTCGCGATCGCATCGACCACCCTGAACGAGCGGCCACACAGCTTGTGACACTTGCTGTCCCTCTTGTCGCAGAAGGCGAACGTCGTGTTCTCCACCGATATCGTTCTCGCGACCCAGCTGTTGCGCGGCGTTGGCGGGCTACCGTCCGACGACACGCACGCGCAGCCAGCCTGGATGGACACTGGCATCGGCGGCCTGCGTCAGTGCGTGGAGGCGTTCGCCTCGGGAGAAGAGGTGGAGCTGGCGCTTGAGCCCAAATTGGCTACGGGGTGGATGGATGGATGGATGGAAAGGCCCGAAGGGGAGTGCACAGCACTAAATAATTAAGCAAAGCTTGAAATCACAAAACTTCATTCTAAGACAGCCCCCGACGATGGCTTTTACGGCCAAATACACAGCGCCAATATGTTTAAACATACTGACGCTCTGTGTCTGGAACTTTAGCTGCTCAAGCGGCCCTATATCTCGAGCTCCCTAAGAAAGCCCGTTAGCAAACATGCAGGACTCATTGGAGGGAACTAACAGACTTGGCCTGCTCCTACAGTCGCTCTTCCGTGCTCGGTCGTCGTCGTCGTCGCCGTCGTCGTCGTCGTCGTCGTCGTCGTCGTCGTCTCCGTCGCGATTTAGTTTTTTACTTAGCAGGTTCCCGTCGTAACAGGGGGGCAAAAGTGCTATGCTCGCATGCCACCCCAGCCGTTGTCGTCATTTTCCTCCTCCTCCTTCTCCCCCTCCTCCTCCTCCTCCTCCTCCTCCTCCTCCTCCTCCTCCTCCCCCCCCTCCTTCTCCTCATTCCTCCTCATCCTCCTCACCCTCCTTCTCCTCATTCCTCCTCCTCCTCCCCCCCACTCCTCCACTCTGCTCGTCTCACCCCCAGCCAAGCGCCGAGCGAGCACACCGCCCCAATGCTTGCCTTGCCTTACCGTACCTCCCCCTCCTCCTCCTCTCCCTCATCCTCCTCCTGCGGGGGCACGGCGCTGGGCGGTCCTGCGGCATCGCCTCGCTCTCGTCGAGGCGGCGGGGGCCGCGGCCGCGGGGCGCTCCCCCCACCCCTCATCCTCCTCCTCCTCCTCCGCATCCTCCTCCTCATCCTCATCCTCCTCCTCCGCCTCCTACTCCTCCCTCTCCCTCCTCCTTCCCCTCCTCCTCCCCCTCCTCCTCCTCCTCCTTCTCCTCCCCCTCCTCCTCATCATCCTCCTCATCATCATCGTCCTCCTCCTCTTTCCCCCCCTCCCCCTCGTCCCCGCCTCCCCCCCCCCCCCCCCCCCCTCCTCCTCCTCCTCGTCCTCCTCGTCATCTTCCGCCTCCTCCTCCCCCTCCTCCTCCTCCTCCTCCCCCCCCTCCTCCTCCACATCATCCTCCTCTTCCTCCTCCTCCTCCTCCTCCCGCTCCTCCTTCTCCTCCTCCTCCTCCTCCTCCTACGCCTACCCCTCGTGTGTTTGTTGTTTTTTTTCTGGCCTGGCCTTTGTTTGACATTCTGTGTTTGCGGGTGTGTCTCTGCTGTGATTGCTGCGTGCTTGCGCGTGTTTTGTTTGTGTGTCGCTTTCCAGTTTAGCAAGTATGGCGCTTTGCGCTTTTTGTCTTTCTTGGTGTTCGTGTCTCTTTGTGCGTGCGTGTGCGTGTGCGTGGCTGCGATCTGCGAAACAGTCGCCACTTTCGAGGGGTGCTGGTCCAACATAGAGGCTGCACCTCGCCATCGCTGGGGGGCTGCGACGCTTGTTTCACGCTGTCCTCGAAGCTGGTGCAGTCAGAGCACCAGCGATCACGAGCCTGGTCACTTATGGCTGGCACACCATGGCAGCAAACTCAAACGTCCACTTGCCAACCTACAATCAGCGCTTCGGCGCAGCACCAGCGTCGGGCCCCTTCTGGAAGAGCTCGCTGCCTTTCTCGATGGCCCTCGTGTTGGTCATGGCAGGCAGCACGCACACGACATCGTCCTGGCGCTCGGACTCGGACTCGGCGCTCCACGTGCTCACCATCACCCTCACCGTGGACCACGCCACGTTCACCTCCGCGGTGTCAGGGGTCGAGGGGATGCACCAGCAGGGCACGATGAACTGCGCCGTCTTCTCACCAGGCAGGGTCGTCTTCTGGAGCAGCCACATCTCGTGCTCGGCCTCTGGCATCTTGATGTTCACGGCAATCCCGTTCTGCGGCATCTTTGCGCCGTGCCCGATGTTCGGGGTCAGCGGAATCAGTTCGAGTTGGCCCTTCGCGCACCGCTTGTCGGCCACGACCTTCTTGCCAGACTTCGCGAACGTGATGGTCAGCTCAACCGTGGGGGCGTACTCCCTGTATGCGGAGTCGAGGGCCGCCCTGACGAAGGCCCGCTTGAGCTCGCTCATCACCTCCTTATTCAACAGCCCGATGGCCGTGCCACCCGCCACCTGCACGACAGTAGATTCTTCCTCGGAGATCACTTCGAAGTCGTCGACGAGCTTGCTGGCGGAAACCTGGAGCTCGTGTTCTGCCTTGCGCTTCTTGGTGACAGGGGTGCCGCCCTCCTTGAACAGCCTTGTCAGCGGGGCGCCGTCGTCCAGGACCAGCTTGACCTCGCGAGGAGAGAGGCGCAAGAGGAAAGCAGAGGAGGAGGATGAGGAGGAGGAGGAGGAGGGGGATGAGGAGGAGGAGGAGTTAAGATGACAAGGGGCATAGCAGCAGCATCGGTCAAACCTTGCCCTCGCCGAGTTCCAAGATGACCCATGTGCCCTCCACGTTCGCGCCATTCCTGCCCTTGACCTTCGCCTTGAGCTCGAAGCCCTTGCTCTCGAGGATGTCGGTCTTCACGACGTGGCCAGACGAGCCCGAGCTCGACTCGTACTGCACCATGGCGGCCACGGCAATCTTTGGCTCGTCGGGCACGGTCACTTGCCACGGGGGCTCTACGTGCGCCGCGGCGGGCCAGACCTCGCGCACGTCATGGACGAACTGCTGCACCACGGAGTCTAAGTCGTCGAACTGCTTGCGTCCACGAGCTTTCTTGCCGTACGTCGTCATGACCATCCGCGCGTCGAGCTCGAACAGGTGGGCGTCCGTAACCTTGCAGCCCTCCTTCAGGTAGTGCACGGCCGAGCGATGCTTGGCCACGGCGTCGAAAGCCATGCTGCGAAGTTTCCCAGACTCCACGGCCTGAACATCAGAGCTCGTGATGAGCCGGACGCCGCCGTCCCTCATGTACTGCTCTGGCGCACCCAAGGACGCCTTCATGCACGCAGTGACCCACTCGTGGACCTGCGATAGCCGAGCCTTCCCCAATATACTGAAAGTGACCGAGCCCACGTCGCGAGCGTTGTCCCCCAAAGTTTTGGCGAACGCCTTCAGCTCTTGCAGGAACACTGGCGGGTTGCCTCCGCCGAAGTTCTGCACGCGCGTGGCCATGGCATCGACCTGCCCCTTGAGGTACGGGCGCGTGCGCTCGATGTCCCGCACCACTGACGGCATCGTCGCATTGCCAAAGTGCGCGACCCTGCGCATCTTTGCGTGAATCTGCATCAGGGTCTGAACCTTGCTCTGCAAGCGATGCGATCCGTGCCCAATGGTGTGTGACTCGGAAAGGAACGCTGCAAGGTCTGGCACCTCAGCGACAACTTCGGCTCGAATGGCAATCCACGTGAGACCCGTCTCCATCGCCTCCTTGATGCGAGTGTACGCCCTGAGCACCGCGTCCTGGCTAATGCACCCGTCCTCGTTAACGAACTCCGTCTCGTAGCTCTTCGTGCAGTGCAAGATGCAGCGAAGGACCTGGTTGGTGTTGCTGCATGCGATGCTCAACATCTTCATAGTGTTCGAGGCCCTCGCCAAATAGCCCTCGCTCGATGCAACGAGCTCCTCGTTGAAGCGCACCTGCTTTGAGCCCTCGTCCCCGTTGCCAACCTCGATGGCCACTGGGTCCTTCACCTCGGACCAGCTCCAGCCAGACCGAATGATGATGCCTGCCAAGATGTGCACCTCGTGCCACTCCACTCCAATCCCGAATCGGTTGTCGGGGTGGACCCCGACGTCGTCGGGTACAGCCGTCGCGCGGTAAGCCAGCCCTTTCTCCAGCAGCAGCTGCGCCAACTTATCAGCTGCTGCGTTCTGCTGCTTGGCGCCCTGCTCATCAGCGTTCTGGTACTGGGCGATCACGGCCCTCAAGCCCTCCGCCAAGTCCGTGAGGGCGGCCTGCAAACTCTGATGCATCGGCATTGAGCGCCGCAGAAGCCCTCCGAAGGCGAAAGCACTAGCTCGGCCCCGAACGGGGCGGCAGGGAGGGCCCGAAACGGCTTGAGCCAGTGCGGCTATGCTCATGGTTTTGTTTGCTTCTGCGCGTGATCAGATGTGTATGTGTGTTGATGGTGCGTCCTGCTTTGCTTGGAGGTTTTTGCCGCGTTTGCCGCATGCTCGTTTCTGCTGACGCCGTTGCTCGTGCGTTTGCTCATTGTTTGGTCATTGCTTACTTTTTATGCGCGTGACTGAATATGTTGATGCATCTGCTTGTCTTTTTTGTGTTCTGGGTGGGGGGGGGGGCGTTGTTTCGGGAAGCCGAGCTGTATGCTCGAGATCGGGCTGGCGCGGGCAGGGAGCGCGTCCCCAACTTCGGTAATCAAGTTAGCTAACCAACTTAAAACCGACATAACTAACCTACTTGTAACCATCATAGTAACTACATGTAACTATCATACGATCCCAATTTGAAATCCACATGGGGTTAGGCTAACTAGGTTAGTAAAGCCCCGAACCGCCGAAGATGGATAGCCTAAGCGGCCTAAGTAGACGGGGCGCTTAATAATCACTTAGGTTGGATGTATCCTGGGTAGGAAGGTTATAAGTAAGTTATACCCACCTTATACCAAACATATAACGGGGCTATCTACTTACTATCCGCCATGACCCTCCCAGTAGGGGTCTGGGGACCGATGTTGGACAGACTTGGGACGGGCGGTCGGGCCGCCGTTGTCCCACCGCCGTTGTCTCAACTGGCCCTCCGCCGAGGCTCGGCCGCTGCCGAAGGTGTCCCTGGCCCAAGTGGAGCGCAAAGCTGGGGATACTCGGCGGGCTCCACAGGGCTCACGAGGCCCAGAGGGCCCCGGAGGCTCGAAAATGGGGCGAGGCGCTGGGGATGATTGGTGGCGCGCGCAAGGGGGGTGGCTCGAGGGGGGTTGCCTTCGAAAGAGCCCCCCTGCTCTCCGAGAAGCCCCCCCCCCCCCCCTCGCGCCACCCCCCTTGTGCGAGCCGCCGGGTATCCCCAGCTTTGCGCTCCATTTTGGAGCCCCTGGGGCCCTCTGGGCCTCGTGATGGGGTGCGCTGTAGGGCGTGGGGCCGCCCTGGAGATCCTTGGGGGGAGGGGCCAGGGAGACTTCTGGCAGCTCCCCGCCCGACAGGGGAGGGCGGCGAGCGAGCGACGGGCACCAAAGGAGGCCGATGTGTCTCGGCTCTCTGGGTCAAGAGAGGCCCCTGGGGCGGCGCGCTGCAGAAGAATGGCGTGCGGCCGCTGCCCTCGCGATCCCGCAGCTGCTCGGCAGCTACAGCGCCCCCGAAGCAAGCGGGGGGAGGCGGAGAGGGATGAGGAATGTTGAGCCGCAAAAGCTCTCGCAAACAGACAATGCTGAGGCACGGCGGACTTCCCTCATGGAGGACGATCGTGATGAGGAGGAAAGCAAGGGGAGGGACGAGGGAGAGGCTCCCTCCCCGCTTACACCACCTACAACCTCAATTAGTACCATCTCTCCCTCCCTCTCTCCAAGATCACTCTTCCGCCCAAGGGTCTTTATCTATTCCGTCTCCCACTTCCCACTTCCTACATCTTCCCACTTTCTAAAGTTTCGCGACTGTTCTGCGGCAACCCATGTTACATCCCCCTACCCCCACCAGGCCAAAGAGAGTAAACTACTGGCGCCACACTATTCGGAATAGTGACGGCCCGGACAGGCCAAACCTTCCGGACCCAGATGCGTGCATCCCCCTCGTCCAGGATGCGTCACGACTTGTACACAAACTCGCCGAACTCGGACTTGATGGTGCACTGCGCTCCCGGCCCTTGACCGCTGCCGTTAGTTGGCAGAGCCTCCACGCGGCCCACCACCTGCGCTGCCACGCCGAACGAGCGGGAGATCTCAATGATCCTGGCGGCGGTGCTACTGTCCGTGTAGAGTTCCATCCGGTGCCCCATGTTGAACACCTTGTACATCTCCTGCCACGGCGTGCCGCCCTGCTCTTGTATGACCTGGAACAGCGGGGGCACCGGGAACAGGCCGTCTTTGACCACGTGCAGGCCCCTGCCGAGGAAATGTAGGATCTTCGTCTGACCGCCGCCGCTGCAGTGCACGATGCCGTGCACCTCGGGCCGGCACTCCGCCAGCACCTGCGCAATGATCGGGGCGTACGTGCGGGTGGGGGACAAGACCATCTTGCCCGCCGTGACCTTGTGGCCACCGCCAATTTCGACGATGTCTTCCAGGTCAAGGCGCCCACAGTACACCAGCTCGGAGGCCAAGCCGGGGTCGTAGGTCTGCGGGAATTCGGCGGCCAGCTCCTTGCGGAACACGTCGTGCCGTGCTGCGGTGAGTCCGTTGCTGCCCATGCCGCTGTTGTACTCCCTCTCGTAGGTGGACTGTCCGAAGGAGGCCAGGCCAACAATCACGTCGCCCTCTTGTATATTCCTGTTGTCTATGATGTCGCTGCGGCGCACCCGTGCAGTGACGGTTGAGTCCACAATGATGGTCCGAACCAGATCGCCGACATCTGCAGTCTCCCCGCCCGTGGACACGATGTTTACCCCGTGCTCCCTCAGCTCCGCCAGCAGACTCTCGGTACCACCGATGATGGCCGATATCACCTCTCCAGTCACCAGGTGTTTGTTGCGGCCTATGGTGCTCGAGAGCATGATGGGGTCCTGCCCGCACACGCCCACGCAGATGAGGTCGTCGAGGTTCATCACCAGCGCGTCCTGGGCGATGCCGCGCCACACCGAGAGGTCCCCCGTTCTTCGCCAGTACGCGTAGGCGAGGGACGACTTCGTGCCTGCCCCGTCTGCGTGCATCACGATGCATAGAAGAACAAACAACTGTACAGACATACACTCTCGGAGGTCCGCGCGGATTTCTTGGACCTGCGCCAAGGGCAGGGCAGGGGTGCCCCCCCTCGCGGCCCAGCGCAGATCCAAGGAATCTGCGCGGAGCTCTGAAAATATACGTTTATGCAGCTTTTCCCTCTTCGAGATGCAGTGGTCCTCGCTGCCGCACAGGTAGTCGGGGACCACCTGGGCGAGGAAAAGAAAGGGTCTTACGCGAGATGACATAGCGACCTTACGCCGCGGCTTACGTGGGCCGCCAGCGCGGCACGCTGCATTGGAAACGAAGACGCTTGCGCGCGACCTTCCGCGGGCAACTTACGCGCCAATGTCGGTGAAGACGAAGCCGTTTCTCTGCGTCGCTCACCTTGCAGAACGCCCTGGGGTACAGGCCCTTGTCCAGGTTGGCGATAGCCGCGTGGACATCGCCCTTGTTCGCGGAGACCCCGCGGCCCGCATACTTCGCAGCGTCGCCGGCGCTGGCCTGGGCTGGAAAGGTCTGCTGGTCCGGCGCCATCTCGTGGCGGTCGGTCGCAGTCCCCATGCGACGAGGGAACCAAACGAGCCAAAATGGCTACAGAGGACGGATCGGATGGGGAGGACGGCAAGGAGGGGAGGATATGGGTGTGGGCAGGAGGGCCAGTGATAGAAAAGGCTGGAGCAAACAGAGGGTGATAGGGGAATCGCGCTGTTTACCAAGCACGAGCGTCACAGCCCCACCCCCACTCTCAGAATATTGGAACCAGCGCTGGCACAACAGAATATTAGCCCCTCTTGAGCGGGCGTGGGTTGGTTTGCTCACGGGCTGAATGCGTGGCACTCACTGCGCACACGTCGCATGCTGAATCATTGAAATCACGGATGCAGATTGAGCGTGCAGATTGACCGTTACGCATGGCGTAACTCTCGATCTGCGATGCGCGCACGGCCCAGCTGCAGATTGACAGCGCAAACTCTCGCGCGGCGTGGGCGCAATCCTGACAGAACAATCACTAAAACCGCACTCTGCCTGCCGCGCACGCCCTGATCTCGAATCGGCGCGGCCGCCCGACAGAAACTGCACTGCCGTGGCCTACGTCAGGAGAAGGAGGAAAAAGAAGAAGACGATAAATGGGGAGCAGGCGGAGGAGGAGAAGCAGGAAGAAGAGGAGGAGGAGGAGCAGGAGGAAGAGGAGGGGGGGAAATAATAACAGGAGGAGGGAGGAGGAGGAAGAGGAGAAGGACCAGTGCAAGCCCAAGACGCATCATCGATGTTGCAATAAGCCCTCCAAGGTTCCTCTTCGTATGTCCATGCAATATTCATTTTCCACTGTAGGAATTACCCCTTCTGGGAGACGACACTCTGAAATCCTGGACCGCACAAGGATACCATTCCTGGGACATCAACGCCACGAATCACCGTTACTGTTGCGTCCTGACGAGCCAGAATCGTGATGGAATTCCATCCCTCGGACTTCTAAACTGAAAATCAACGTAACTGTTGCGCCATGTGCATCCTACATCGCGACAGAACACAAGTCCTGGTACGCTAGCCATGGGAGCCCTTGAAATTGCTGCAAAGTCTTACGACGAATATTCGCACGGCGCTAAAGCGATAATAAAAAGTTTAAAAGAACAGCCCTCCATCCTTCTGTTCCAATTTTTTAGAACGGATGTGCACGGCGCTGACACGAGAGCCTCATTGACAAAAAAACGGCACGCCCTCCATCCGGGACGCTCTTGCAAACTTCGGAAACGAATGAGCACGGCGTTGAGGGGAGAGCCTCAATCTGAAAACGGACCGCCTTCCATCCGTCAAACTTTTGCAAACCTTTGAACCGAATGTGCGCGGCGCTGAAACGAGACGCACATTTTGAAATTGGCCCGCCCTCAATCCGTGAAGCTCTTGAAGATTCTCAACTGAAGGTCCGAACTTGGTGAGTACCTCTCAGGCGAAACGCGTGACCTGCCCTACCGACACGTCTCGGGGTGTGACAGGGGAAAAACACAAGGAGCAGGGGTGGAGGAGGAGGAGGAGGACCAGTGCAACCCCAAGACGAATCAACACTATAGCAATAAACCCTCCCTCCAAGTTCCTGTTTCAGCAGCTCCTGCGCGGCTTCATTTGCACAAGAAGACATGCCCCATTAGA